TACAAAAGGAGCGCTTTGACAATTATTATTTTAAACATTAATAAAGAGAAGGTCGTTATTAGGAAATGATTATAAAGGCATTCATAAAAAAACATTTTCTGAAACGTGCACCTTTGTTAATAACTATTTCCATCAAAAATGTAACATAAAAGCGTTTGTATCGATATATTAATAATAATGTCTCCTACAGCTAACGCTTCCTACAGCTCCAGTCACACATACACACACACAACGTCGCAGTGACGTAATCAGAAATTTTTTGCGGAGGGCTTAAAGTTTTTGAAATGCTGGCCACCTATTTTTTATTTATTCTATATTATTTAATTTATTCACAAAATTTATTTTCAAAACTATCCAGAGGGCCTAACAGACCACTTGCCACTTAACAGACTTTTTATAATTTTTGTATAAAAACCAGCTTTTTTAACGAAAATTTGCCAAAGTTACTTTTGTGAGGTGCTGAAACAATTCTGAATTTTAAATCAAAACTTTGTGTATAGAAATATTGTTAAATATAATTTTAACCATAATAACATTATTCATTATGTAGGGGTGGGTTCAGTCACATCAAGTGCAGCATCGATGGTTTTTGTTGGAACGACACGAGAATTTACAAAGTAATTTCATATGTTTCAATGTTTTATTTTTTTATGCTTTTCTGATCTCATAACTTCATTCTCCAGCCAATTTGAGGATTTTCATTTTCTGATTTGAAGCCTGCCACCAAGTTTGCGTATTCAATACACATCAAATGTGCAAGTCATTTTTGATAGAATCTTGTACAGGAGATAAATCTTTTTTACAATACCAATTTTTGTTAAACTCACATTCGTTCGAAGCAACAGCGACCACCCAGAAACTGTCTTACACCGAAGTAACAAAGCTTATAGACCTAATGAAATAATGAAATAATTTTTTTTCATGGTGTCAAAATTGTTTCAAACAATATATATAATAATGTTATATAATATCATATATCATTTATCATATCATATCATATCATATCATATCATATCATATCATATCATATCATATCATATCATATCATATATCATATCATATCGTATCGTATCGTATCGTATCGTATCATATCATATCATATCATATATCATATCATATCATATCATATCATATCATATCTTAATAATGAATAATGGGCTTAAACTAAAATTTTACACAAATAATAAACAAAAAATAAATAAAATATCAAATATGAATAACCAAATTGTTATCATAAATAAAACCTTTTTATGGCAATAACCTTTGGTTGATCCCATCATAACAATAAAAACAAAAGTTCAAAAAAGACAACAGCAGCTGTTTATGGGGCATAAAAAGGCAACGTACGAGCGTGAAGTTGGTGGATGGTTTCTTCTTCAATAATTCACAAGAATATTATGATTCCTCATTTGTCAGTTGGCTGCTTTTTTGCGTCGTTAATAAAACCATTTGTTCAAATACTGAACTTTTTGTTTTTGTATTCGTTATTGATAAATGTGAATGGTTTAAACGCTATATATTTTGCTGCCTCTTCATTTATTCACTTGAATATATGCTTTTTTTTGAATCAATTCTAATTCTTCAATTTCTTTTATTGCAAAATATGGTCAAATGTTTGCACGTTTATTATACGTACACGTGTGTACGGTTAATCAAATTTAAAATAAAAAGATAAATATATCTTTATATATATATATATATATATATATATATATATTTTTTTTTTTTTTGAAGGATGACCAAAAAAGATAAACTTGTGGATAGACCACCCTTAACTAAAATTTATAACTATAGATGTAACAGAAATGTCATGAAATACCTACACATAAACTCACGCTCACACATACTTATAAACACTCACCATACTAAAATTCATATCACAATACTGTTATACAGAACTGAAGAAACAGAATCAATGAAATGAAATGATCTGGAAACCAAACGTACGCTCACTTACACACTCAAATAAATAGACACATAAACAAATATGGCCACACACCATACACATAAAGGGCGTGGCCATATGTCTCAGCATGGACATCTTACACATAGATATGTGCCCCTCCATATACACCCCCGCTGTACCCTGGTTAACGCTCCTAGAATACAATAATTATATACATATATACACATTTCTACACATACACATGCACACACGCACACACACAGACACACGCACACTCACATAAACACACACACTCACCCAAACACACACACGCACACTTACCCACACACACTCTCACGCAAGCACTCACGCACACATACAAATACACACACACACAGACACTCACGCACCTATACCCACCCTCAAACACACACACACACATGCATATTTTGTCGAATCTGATCGAATCTCCCAGATTGTTAACAACCCGGCAGATCCAACCAAGCCCAACATAATTCATATTCCTAAAACACGCTGTAAATAATAAATGTAAATAAATGTTGTTCAAGAAAAGGTGACTATGATACATACAAACACAAACACACCCAACACACACCTGACACACTCACTCACCCACGCACACACACATACATACAAAATATGATTGTATGTATGTATATATATATATATATATATATATACATATATATATATATATATATATATATATATGTTTTTATAAACTCAAAAACTACTGAACCAAACCGTTTGAAATTGTGTACATATATATAGCTTTTTGAGTACGTGAGAAAATGTGGACATGGTTTCAACTTGCTCTGCCTTCAAAGATGTTTTATTGTGGGTTAGGCAGATTATGAACATATTTTGAGACTCAAAAACTGATTGTAATGAAATTCTGTAAAAAATGTTTTAAATGCTGCAAAGAGCCGAAACTTGGACCAAATTTGCCCAATTCTCGAAATTGATTTGATTGAATGAAAGAAGACAATTTTTTTATGAAAATTAAGCGCTTCATAATTTTTTAAATTAATTTGTAAAGCAGGTTATTGACCAGCTGTTTAACAAACATCGTATCAAAAATCAAATAAAATAAATTTTGTTAATTGTTTTTTCATTTTTTCATTAAACTTCTATAAAATAATTTTGTAAATGTCTAATAATTCTAATAATTTTAATTTTTAATACTGCATCCTATATCTAGACTGTTAAAAAGTGAAAACTCGACAGAACTGATCGCTTTACAGTTTACACGCTAAAAATTTGTTTATTCTTATGTATTCAACTGAAATAAAATAAATGCCTGTTTTTATAGTTTATATTTTTCACGCCACTTCTCATAACTTACGCATCTCCATCAGTTCATCTGCACATCCTTCGAATTTGTGAGCCGGTGTGCATTTTCATTTCAGTTCTGTACGAGGAAATGTAATAGGCGTGTGTGCAAGGCGACTGAATGGATGCACGCACTGTTCAGATATTGTTTTATTTTGTTAAGATGCGTGCGCAGGGGACGGCTGGTATCATGAAATCAAAAACTTTTCTAAAAACTAAACACATTTTATTTTTTAAGTTTAAAAGCATTTAAAAATTTTCAACCGCGACAGCCAAAAATATTTCAAATTTTTTATAATACATTTGATTTTCTTATATATATATATATATATATATATATATATATATATATATATATATATATATATATTTATGGCTTAGATTTTCTTTTACCTTTCCGACCGATCTCTACAAATATACTAATATATAATAATATATAATAATATCTTGTTTGGTGTCGATGACTTGCCATATGGTGTTCCCCAAAGGTCCATTTTAGACCCTATTTTGTCGCTTTTGCACAACACTGATGTCTTTGATATGATCCGAAGGTATGGGTTTAGGGTTTGCAGACGGTATCCGAATCATTGTCAACTGTGCCACAGATTCCGTCGATATTTGCTTGATAGGCACATGTCTTGTCTCATTAATATTGACAAGTAGAGGTTGTTGAAAAAGCTCAACTTTCACCCGTTAGCACCTGGCAGCAGATATCTAAAATCGATGTTGACTCCATTTGTATTGATGGCAATTACGAGACATTGGACTCTTTCTTAATATTAATTTACCAATTGATTTGCATATTAAACGGCTGACTAAAAAATTTTCATGTCAACTTTGCTTAATAATATTGAATCAATATGCATAAGCTTCTTTGGTTTTAGGAAAGAACTATAAACAAATTACACCTAAAGACAAAAACATCTTAAAATACCTTCGTATTAAAACCTCACAGACATAATTTGACTCATGTAATTATGAAACTTGATTATCTTGATCACCATGTTGATAATCTTTTATAGTAATATTTGAAGGGCATTTGCCCGGAGGTTTTCGCACGGAGGCATTTTGTCTAAAAAACTTTTTTTGACCTCTCATCAACACTTACATACTTCTGCTATTCCACAACAGTTCAATATTTCGTTCGAAAGTAATGACTCTTCTAATAAATAGAGACATGTTTTTTATATAGGTTGAATAGTATCTATTGAAAAAATTTTAATTTGCTCCATTAATGCTCACGCAAAAATTATGTGTGTTTTACTATTACAGTTACTGAAAACACATTTTGAAGGCCAAAAAGGGTTTCTGAATTATTGAAAGGTCACAATGTATCCAACCGTGGAAATAACTTGCAACTCTGGAAGACTTACCGTAACTCAGTAAATAACCATCCACGCATGTCGAGTACAGTCGATCGGAAATGTAAACTAATGTGATTCCTGAACATTTCCAGCAAAGGGTATTTTAATTAAGTGAATAGCCTCAAATTATCAGAGCTTATTAATTAAAATATAAATTAATTTGTTTACTTAAATTTGTGCGATAACATTTTTTAAAATATTTTGCATCGATGTACAGCCTGAATGATGTGGATGGCTGGAAGTCGTCTGGTATGATATGATTGCCACTCTCTCTATAAACTGGATGGAAGTGAATGACTTGTATATCAATCGGCTAGAGGCACTAGCTGAACATTTAATGACGTTACTGACGTGAAAGATATTCTTGGAAGAAAAATTCTTGCTACTATCGGTGATGTTCAAGTCGTTTGCAGGTCGCAGGTGATGACAACCGTAATGTTTTTCCAACCATCGAGTCGAATTGATTTATCCTCTTTATTAGCCTCAATTAACTTTTCGCCACTGTTAACTTGAGTTAAATTTTTGAACTCATCGGTATTACCAACAGCTGGAATGTTCGCGAGCCGCTGTGCATTCGATAGTGTGCCGCTTAGCACTATTCCGTGCTTTTTAAGTGGATTTAAAATGGCTGAACTTGCCTTCTCATTAACATATTCCACACGCAAAAGTTCTGGAATAAGTAAGTGACAATTCTTGAAATTCTCGCGCAGATTGTTGTCAAACCTAAAGTAGCAAATCCAAAGAAACTCAGCGAATACTGTTTTCTTGGAAGCAGTAAGAGTCAGGTTCGGCAATCATGAAAAATCCGCCGTTAAGCTCCACTTACTTTTTTGATTGTCACTTATCATTTGCAAAAAAGCCAAATAGACGATGACTAAAAGTTGTAAAGCTTTAAAAGTGAAAAAGTTAATTAACGTTATTACTTTTAAATTTGAATTTCGTTTGGATGGATCAAGATTTTAGAAGTTATATTATTAATTAAATTAAAATCCTGTAAAATAGCTTTTCATTAATCTTTTACCTATAAATAAATGGTTTTATTATGAAACATTGTGATTTTTTATTTAGAAATTTTTATTGATACTAATTAACTCTAACCTTAACTAACAAGATTTTTATTTAGTTTTATTTGTTTGTTATCGATAAATATATTTATATACTTCATACAAATATATGTGATATATATAGCAGCTAGCATGTCAATGCCAAAACAAATAGTTGCAGTCAATGAATTATTTATTTTTATTTCTTTGTTTTTACCATGCATAATATGATTGAACATTCTTACTCCGTTATTTATTTTCAGTTTTCATTTTATACTATTGCTTGCATGTTATAACACTTTCTGCGTCCGTCAGATTCTGATTTTTTAATGAAAAATAGAAAAAAACACATTCAAAATTTACCATTCAAATTCAAGTATTTAAGTAAATTTTATGATATCATTCTTTTAGAAAATAAATCTAAAAAGCCAGCTAACTAAACACAACTACAAATTCAAGATCAATCTGATCAAAAAAGATCATTGAGTCAACTACGTTGACTTATCAACCAACATAAACAGTAATGACAACAACACATTATCGTTTAAACACTGCAACAATCATCAAATTGACAACAACTCGCAAATAAATAATAACACCAAACTCACAACAAAGTAAGCAGCAGCGTCGAAAGAACAAGAAGAAGACAGGAATAAATGTTATCAGAGCAGCCGACATCTGATAACGACGGCCAACGAGGACAAATTCGCCAACATCAACAACAATTCGACGATGATGAAAAGTTATTTACAAATATTTTCAGCAGATGATGAAAAATCGACCTTCAATTAAAATGCTGGTGTCTGAAATGTATGCCTTTTTAACTTTTTTAAATTATATAATCTGTTTATGTGTATTTGAAAATATTTGCATTATTAAAGCATTCATCTGGTAGTTTTGCATTATCTGTTGTGGAGGATTCTATTTTTCAAGGCATCAAACACTTTCGCACGTGATCGGCGGTGATTTTTTTTACATTCGAACCCGGACACTACATCAACAATGCCAGGCACCTTGACAATTATACCATCGCGCCGCCAGAACATGCGTTCTCTGCTGTACAGTTTGGGGTCAGGATAACAAAAGAAATAATTAATTTTTGTGTAAAATTTTTGGCCTGTTAATTTATTTAGGAAAATTTAAACAGCGAAAACTACAAGTAGACATTCAACCAGTGCCGGCCTTAAGGGGGCGAGATCGGGCGCCGGGTAACTGAGGGCATCAAACGCTGTCTGCAAAATAAACACTAAATATTTTAAAAAAAAGTAAATTTAAAATAGATTTTTTTAAACTTATTTTTTTAAATATAAATTTGTTTTTCCCAGAAAGTAATTTATTTTTCATACTAATAATTTGTTAAAAATACTTTAATGAAAAAAATCAAAAAATTATAAATTTATCAAAATTTTTTCAAACGTTATTGTAACAAATTCATTTTGTGTGCTTGTATCTTTCGCGGCGCAACATATTTTTGGTCTAAACTCATTTATGATTTTTGGTACGTTTTGCGACATTTTGACGCGCGTTCTTGTTAATTGGTTGTTAAATAATTTACGATTTAGTTAGAGTTGTTTTTATTGTTGTGTTTCAAGTTCATTTTTTACCAAGCTTACAATTATTGCAGAAATAAAAAGCAGGTAAGTAAAAATAATAAAATTTTAAAAAAATAATATAGAATCGTGAACTACATTTTAGAATAAAATGCTGATGAAAATCAAGGAAACTTTTTTTTCTCAATCTCATAATAAAAAACATCTGGTGCTGAGTGCAGAAAACAAAAATTATAAAATTTTGAAAATCGGAAAACACTCGAGTGATTTTAATATAATAAAAGAAAAAGAAATTTATGTAATTATACGTGGTAATCCAACCAACAACTCTGCTTCTTTAAAAAGAAATGAATTAGCATCCGACAAAAAAGTTTAAGATGGCGAAATATCTTGAGCGATTGATGAACATTACTTTACATTTTGGCATAAATTAGTATGGCTTATATACAGTTAATAATAGAACATTTTTATGACTGGTATAATTACTCGTGAAGTTTGATCCTACAATGTTGAACCATGTGACGCTAGTTCTTAAAGGAAATTTTTCTGCTGTTGAAAAACTATTCCAAATGAAATGATAGATAAAATGACATCAAAAGTAACAAACATAACTATATCCAAAGCTATATATGTTACATATTATTCTATTATTGTTGAGTGCGCTCCGGATACATCTCACATAGATGATATATTTACTTAATTTACTTACTTTAATTGTAAGCTTTCGCTCACAATTAAAATAATAAATATATCAGATATCCTAAAAAAAATAAATTAACAATTTTCGGGTTTTTTATTGTTAACGACTCGACGGGTCTTAGTTTTAAAAAAATTATATTTGGAGCTTTAAAAGAATTTAGACTGAATATAAGCTTTTCGAGGGCAAGGGTACGATAATGTTTCAAATATGAAAGTCAAAAATAATGGTCTTCAAAAAAAATTTTAAATTTAAATTCTTTGACTTTTTACTTTCTTTGTGGAAGCCATTTCCTCAATTTAGTTATTTTGATAACTTTATTCAATGTTTTACTGATTTAATTAGAAGAATTTGTTATCTGTGTATTAAAAAAGTCTATCATAAAATTCATCTAGTTGTGTTGCATCGCTTATTTATATACTTATTTTTAAAAACATATCTTCAAAAATTCTGATTAATTTGATTAAAAATTAATTGAAATATCTCTTTAGCATATACCTAAAATTTTTGCATATTGGCCCCGTTTTTCTCGTTTGTTAATTTTAGGCTACTAACCTTCCATTGTTAATATCAATAATACATAAGGGCGCGTCTACAAGGTTTGAAAAAAGAAAAATTTATTTAAACAGTTACAACTATTTACAGACTTTAGGTTATGTTGTTGAGATGTTTTGCAGGGGTTATCTAATAAGTTTTGTGGTGAAGTCTGTTAGAAGGATGAAGTGTGCAAACTTCTACCATAGGTATCTTCTATAAAATTTTCAACAACAAAAAAGTTAGTATTGATTGTAGTAACAAAGAGAACAAAAATTTGAATACTTCAATTTCAATTAACGTACTTCAAATTATAGTTCTTCGATGAATGTCAGTTTGAAATAATTAGAATAATTTGATTGTTACAAAAAACGGAAGAATGAAATAAAATTGAGAAAACGAAGGTGCAGAAAATTCCGAAATTCATCCAAGAGTCAATCCGGTTTATACTTTGCTACTTTTAAAGCATATAACTATTTAATATTAAACTATTTGTTTCATTTTCGATACAAATACACAAATCTTTGGGACAAAAACTATTAAGTTATTAAAAAAAATGTATAATATGAAGAACCGATACCAATAGTAATATTCTTACAAACGTACAAGTATTTAAACTATACATTTCAGTTTGGTTGATTTTATGAAGTGATAAAACATGATAATGTAATGTTGTGTCAAATCAAATGAAACTTCGCCAATATAAGAAAAAATGACGATACGATAACGATACGATAACGAGATTCCGATTCAAATTTTTTAAATCAAACTACCAAACGATAAAAACACGTTTTTCGAAAGATAAAAATATTATTACAGTACATTTTGTAATTAAAAACTATCTAAAATGAAAATAACAGAACAAAAAGATGCATTGAAAAGTAATACAAAATCAATAAAGTTTTTGCAATGTGCTAAACATATTAGGTGGCGAGATGGGCTGATGATTGAAAACTTCTGGTTTGCATGCAGGGATGGCATCTAATGCAACAGAGATCCCCACCTTTCATACGCAATGTGTGTGATGCGTTAGTTCGTGCGTATTCATAAACGCTTTGTAGCCATTGATACTTAAAATTATTATCACGAGGGTCTGACGTGTCAGGAAAATATATCGTGAGTGTATTTTTAATTTTCTTCAGCTCATCATCTTTACTTTGAATTGGGACACTAAAATCACAATTTGGTGTTATTTGTTTTTCATAATGCATTCTGGTTATATATTTTTCTTTGCTTGCTATGTTATTGCAATTAAACGTTTGCACCCACCCTCCTATATTACTTTTTAACGCAAAAAAGGTTTTGAGGTACAAACAGCTAGCTGGTATTTGGACCAGGTCGTTTAAAATTTATATGAGATATTATTTGGCCAGCCAAAGGCCGATCCAGACAACTTTGACAGAGAACCAAAATAAAAATTTGTGTGTGAGAGGATTAAAAAGAGTTGGTGACCTTTTTTCATTTGCTTGTAGCACAACTATTTGTCAATTTGATATTTAAAACAATGTTTTAAAGACTAAAATCTAATCAAATAATATATATTGGATAAAATGAAGAGCAATTACAAAAGTATGGTTGTTGAACTGTTTGTTGATACCAGGAAGACGACATCTCCGGCCGTCAAATGATCCGCTAAAAAATTACGGTAACAAAACAAACATGAATGGATTTTTAAAAATGAAATAAAAACTGTAATTGTTTTTAAATGTTCAAACATTCCTGAAAAATAGTTTGCAATGATATCAATACGAGTTGGACATTTTTTCTTGTGCTTTTTTTTTATTTCGATACTAATGTTTTAGAAGTTGTCTCGCTTTAATGATATTATTTTGATTAAAAGTTTTTCAAAAGTTTTGTTTTAATCAGTGTGTCGGAGTGGGTTGAAAAATATCAGACTCCGACTCCGGTCCCTCAAAAAAATTCCGACCCGGATAAAAATTTTCGACCCCGACTCCCGACTCCTTGTTCCGACTCCTGTAAACAATCGCTTAAACTCGGTCAAAGTTTTTTAATAAAATTACTTTATTTTTATGTTTTACAACATACTGAAAAAATTATGTGATTTTATTTACATTATTAGCATTTATTTTTAGTATTAAAGAAAAGATGATTGTTTTATGCTACGTATATTTATCCTCTTAAAGAAAAACAATCTTAAAAAAATTTTCAGGAAAAAAAATATAAAAATTGTAACAATTTGAGAACGAGTGTTTGGCCTAATTTAAGCGTCAACTCTTGTATTAGATGTATATAACTGGTATAAAATAATCGAGTGTTCACTTAACTTATACATTCAAACCAGCATGACATGCACACGTGGTGCATACGTAACGAATCAGACAGTACATACGCTTATTCACACGTTAACAAATATATCACATACACGTACACTGCAGCACATACATGTTAACAGACACACTCATACATTCACGTACACAAGTACAACTGTACTTACTTTCCCTGTACTGCAAGAGGTTGACGTGGCGTTGGAGTATGAGAAGACATTGATGGCAATGCTCCTGTCTGCAGTAGTGAGGCAATTTTAATTTTAAAATTTTTATTAATAAATTTTTTCATCATACGCTTACAGTATAGTCAGCACGGCAAAACGTTTATAAATAATGAAAATGTATGCATAAAAGAGGAACGGAGGATCGTACTTATCACATAATAACACATCAGTTAAATAAGATAGCATACTTGAAAACATCAATAAAATATAAACAAAAACACTAATAACTTCAAGAACACTAATAACAACAGAAGCAACAACATCAACTACATTGATAAAGTATCATAAACAACAAAACAACTACAACACCAACAAAACAACAAGAACAACATCAACAAGATATCATCGCAACTCACGGACTTACAGCAGATAAAACATGCCACAACGAAGGAATAATAAAAATGGACATGGAATGGAATATTTCGATATAATATTTGTATCTGCTAGATGCATGCATGCAATATCTGCATTCATTTCATGCTTTGTGTTGCTAACAAAATTTCCAAAAATCGATGCAAGTCGTAAATAATCATACATTATTTTTATTACACAACTGCGCTAAGCTCCTATTTATAGGGACCCTCACATCGTACTCGTTTGTTGTGCTGGTTGGCAGTTTGTTCGGCGTGTCTGCCTGCACTACAGTCGCAGCTCTTGTCTGGGCTATTTTGAAATAACACAAACCAAAAAAATTAATTAAGGTGAATAAAATTATTTAGAGGCAATTAAAAAAATGATTAAATTTCGAGTATGCTGGGACGCTCAAATGAAGCATGAGGAGAAACACGCAAAAACATTTTATGGCAAAATTAGTTTTAACAGTAGCTGCAGCCATTAATCATAACAGTAGTTGTAACTATAATCATAAAAACTGTTGCAACTATAATCATAACAATCATAAGAATTGTATGAAGGATTGCATGGCAGCAACACAGCTCATCGACTTTATGTTCAAATATAAATAGCTTGCTTCATCGTGTCTACTTTGATCAATGGAGCCTGCAATGCGAACGCATCCGTGCTGATTTTGTTTTTACAACTTCATATCAAAACTAACAAACAGTTAGAAACAACTGAAAAATAATTAAATTGATTAATTCGATTAAATATCATATACTTAAAATGAACGTGAGCATTTGAAAACGTTGTGAACATTATCGCCGTTCATCCTACAAGCCTCAAATTGTTTTTCATCAAAAACAAATAAAATAAGCTATCTTG